TCCGGCCAGCATAGTCGTGTCCGAGCCAGGGCACCAGGCAAGGAGGACATGGCCTGTCCTTGCTCCATCACCACCGCATCCTCCCAGAGTATCAGCTGCCCCACTTCCTTCCGCCCAGCTGAGCACAGCCGGTCCTGGGCCCACAGCTGGGCTCGACCTGCTTGCCACCCTGGGGTGTCTTAGGCTATGCTGAGGGCAGGCTGCAGTGTTCTGATTACCCACACCCTAGGGGCGCCTATGCTGAAGGGGTGAGGGATGTGTGAGTCCAAGGAGGTGACGGGCTAGGGGGGTGTACAGCAGACAAGGGCTGCCTTTTCGCAGTTATCTTCACCACCTGAGTCCACTCTGCGGACCCCCCTCAGCCCTGTCGTTTCTGAAAGCCTGTTGTAGCTTGGCCTCCTCAGGCTTGGTGCCCAGGCCACACCAGCACCACTGCCACGCTCCCCCTCTCCTGCCCTGGTGCACACAGACCCATCCCCCCACACACAGTTTAGGCTCCTAGCCCCCCCACCTGCCACTGGGCTCTGTGCCCCAGCCCACCCTTTACCTCCTGTCCCAGGAAGGCAGCGCCAGCTCTGCCCTTTGCTCAGTGAGCAAGTGGACACAGATGCACAAAGCCCCAAGGCCGGGGTAGGTATGAGTTTTTTCTTTGTTCCTTTCTGCCTTCCTTCCCTTCACCCTCTCCCACCTCCCCTGAACTCTACCACCCTTCTCCCTTCTGACCCTTCTGCCTCCCACATTTTCCGTCTTTATTGCTCTCCTTGCCCTGCATATGTGCCTAAATTCCCAGCGTGCCATGTGTTAGCCTACCTCCGTGGGGAGTTTGACCCCTCATCCTCAGAAATGCTGTGGAGTGTTGAACATGTCCTTGGCCTGCTTTAAATGAGCTTTGTCCTCCAATTGACAGGAGCCGGAATCTGATTTCCAATAGCTACCTCAATAGTCCCACCAAAGGTCTTCTAATGCACACTTGGGTCTCCAATGACCCAAGAGTTCTCCACCCTGGGTCCCCTTGCCTCGCAGCCGACACCCAGAGAGGAGATAGCCGCCGTGTGCACTCGGTGCAGTCAAACGAAACTAGGACTTAGGCTTACGCCAGGGCTCTCTTGTGAGACCTTCTGGGCAGCCCAGCTTCTACAATCAATTTAGGAAAGGTAGTTGAGCCTGGGTTCTGAACCAGCCCCCACTCCCCCCAACCCCTGGCCCTGCAACTGGGGGGGGGCATCATTCAGAACACTCAGACCTCTGCAGACCACTGCCTCTGTAAAATCTGGTACAGTGAGGACTGAGGTCTCCACCCCTATGTTGTGCAAAGCTATTTCTCAGGCCTCTGGCTCCTGTACCCCTGCCTCAACCATACGCTGTTTCATCTTTTCATGTTCTGGAAATCTGAATAGATACCATATGAAAAGAGGACTCTGCCACCATCATTATATAGTAAACCACTGCAGAAGGCTTTAAAGGTGAAGTCCTTGGAGCACTCCACTCTGGAAACTAAAGATTGAACTGCCTGGGCCAGACCCAGGCACCATAGCACTCTTCCAGCCACCCTTGGGAGGCCACTGCAGGGATGCCACTCCCACCCCCACCCCTTTGCAGTAACCAGCACCCTTTGAGCCAGAGCCCCTGTGTGGCTTCGTCAGGCTGGGAGATTCCCCATGCTGGGTGTATGCTGAGTTGCTGGAAATGCACCTCTTCTGCCTTTGTCCACAGGCTTAGGGGCAAAATGATGCTACCAGTAGGTGGGCAAAGTAAACTTGCCTATTTGCTTGTTCACATTTCCTCAGCCCAGGACCCAGAACATCCTGCCAAGTGGACAAAATATCCCTTGGTCCATTTGTCTAGGGCTGGCCATTCACTTAGAAAACCTAATGGAAGAGATCAGGCTACTGGGACCCTCTAGGCAGAGTAAGCAGAAGGCATAGGGTTAAGAGGCCAGAACCCCTTCTCTACAATAGGTACAGAACCTCTGAGAAGTCCTGGCCAGACCATTGGCATGGATGGGGTCATGAACTGTCCCTTGTCAAAGCAGATACACCTTTCCACATGCTGACTAGAAAAGCATTAGGCAACTTGTTCACAGCTGAGGCATTGCTGGGTTTTGTGTGTCCTGCCATGACTGTTAATTGGGAGAAGTTGCACATGCTCCTGGAGGTGTGTGATTACCTGAGAGCCTGGCCCACTCACAAGGGGCTGTGTGAGGCTCAGCTCCCCGGGAGAACTGCCCATAGGTGTCAGTGGGAACAGTGTAGGGAATGGCAGTTTAGCAGGATGCTCGGAAGGGTGAGAATGTGTGGTGAGAGCCATGCTCACAGCTCTCTCACGTTTTTCCAGATGCGCTGGCTCCCTCCTTCTGAGGCTACTTCTCAGGGCTGGAAGTCCCGTCAGTTCTGCTGAATACTATGTAAGTATTGGTTTTCAGTAAATGTATTGAGCACCCACATGAGCTGGCACATAGCCAGCGTTCAGCTCTCATCCTGCCTTAGTGTCTGCTCTCTGCTAGTCCTGTAATTGTCCTTTGTTAAATTCACTTGTAGGACAATTCTGGTAATACCATTGTCCTGAGAATTTTATCACTGTATGGTAGGGAAAGTGGCAATGCTACTCTCACTTAAACTGAATCCACCCCACTTTTTAAGTGGGCAGTTAATGCTCGTCTCTGCAGGACAGGTGTCAGGAAATGTTCTTTTTCTAAAGATTTTATTTATTTATGCCTACAAGAGCTGGGATGCAGACCAGAAGTGCAGAGGGGTGAGAGAATTCACCAGACAGTGTGGAGAACAAAACAGGCAGATAGACCAAGTACACTGCTGAGGGGAGCAGCAAGGGAGGCAGGGTAAGTGTTATGCCGTGTGAGTCACCTCCCTGGCTGCGAATCAAACTCTAGCTGGAGCGTCTGTGGCCTGCTTTGCAGTGCTATGCCCTAACCTACTGTGCCACTAGGAAGGGCCTGCTAACCTAATTTTTACAAATCACTTTTGTCCAGAGACCATCTGCCAAAGATCTGGAGGCAGCAGTAGCTGTAAAGAAGGGCTAATAGTTGCTTCCTTCCCCTTTGGAAAGTATAGCTTAGGAAACAACGTAAGGTACGTAAGGTGAAACTTCTCCTGTAGGGAGTGTTGGAGACCAGCTCCAGCTATCGGGGTGTCTGGAAGCAAGACAGGCAGGACCCTAAGGTGGGAAGGCGTCGGCAAGCGGAGATTCCTAAAAAAAGGGGAAAAGCAGGAAAAGGGGTGTGAGGAAGACACGGGAGTCGGAGTTGGGTGCAAGTCTTCCTGCGCATCTTTTTGCAGGTCTTTATTTATACTGTTTAGCAAGATTTAGTTACAATAATCCATCAGGTAAGTTAATAAAAAATCAGCATAAAAGTTTTAAAGGAAGAGGGGAACAATGCATCCTCTTCCTGCTACTTTATGGCACACTATACTATACATCTTTGTGATAGCTTTCATATATACGGATGTTTAACTATGACTTTAAAAGGAAAAGATGAGCTGTTAGCAAAGGATTTAGGAGTCCTAGGGAAGGAATAAATTGTGTTAGCAGAGTTGTCAGTGATAGCCTAAAGAGAAGCTAATGGATAACTTAAGGTTAGCAGAGAGTAGCTAGTGTTTTAGGAAAAGATTAATTAAGACTAGCAGAGAGTAGTTAGAGATTGTTTTAGGAAAAGAGTAAATTAAGAGGAAGTCACATAGTTGTACGTTAAGCAAAACCTGTGTTGATATGTTAGGAAATTGTCCATGGGCCCTTATGCCCTGGGAGTTATCTGACATTTGCTTTTTGTCAAAAGACCAAGGAAGCTTTCCAGGAGTCTTGATGCTCTGGGGTCTTATCTTTCCAGGAGCTTGCCTTTTGTCTTCAGTCAAAGGAATTTCCTGCCCAGGAGCAGCTCAGCTTGTACTTTGCCCAGGCCAGGTAGCCAATTTAGAGCTAAGGCAATCCAGTTACAAACTGATGTTGTTACAATATTTTTTGATATTATGATTATACAAAAAAGGGAGGTCATAACGTAAGTTAGCAGTGGAAATTCTGATTTTTCAGAGCTTTTCCCAATCTACCCGGAATCTGTCAGACGATAGCTGTTGCATAGCTTGTATCAGAGGAGAGCATTTGTTCTGAGCTCATAGCCTGACTGCTTCCTCGGGGTCTAGAAGGCAAGGAGGTGGTTAGAAAGGAGTGTGGATTTTTACACTCAATACCACGGCACTTGGGATAGGGAGTCTAGTCTCATCTTGACAGAAATTAGACCAGCTTGTTGTAGATCCTTTACTCAGGCTCCTTTTAGTCTCTGGAATCAAGTGCTTTCCATGACAGCTAATAATCTAGGCTACGTAATCTTACAGAAATGTAAATTAAAATTGAAAACAGTGATGCTGATGAGGTAGGAGAAACACTTCAGTGCAAAACAAGTCTCAAAAAGGCCAAATAAAGGGTAGCTGCCCCAAGGACTCTGCAGCACATGTGGCCTCTCCACTCTTTGGAGAGGGTTTTCCTCCATCAAAAAAAATGTCACCAGGACAGAAGGCGGGAGTGACATCTGGTGCCAGGCACAATAAGCTGTGTGCAGACTGGCTGTCACTTGTGCTGTGAGGGAGCGTTAGGGCATTACCCTTCTAAATCTCTCCCAAGGGTCCTGTGTAAATTCTTAATTTACCCCCTTTTGATTTCCTGTTTCTAAAGTGAGATCCATGACTAAACTAGTAAACAAGCTCTTTATTCTTTAAAGAAGCATGTTACATGTCTGCTATATGTGAGATATAACAAGTGTAAAAACCAGGCTTTTACCCTGCCTTGGTTATAATGAGTGAGAATCATGGACAAAGATTTTGAAAAAAAGAGTTGTCACTCAGGACGTTCCAAGTTGAGCCTGTTTATGAGGAAGTCAAGAGTGTGAGGTCCCTCAAAGGGGCAGGTGTTTTTTATTGGTCACCACCTTGCTGGATATTTAGTCTGACTAAAAGCTGTATTATCACTTCAGTTTTGCTAGTGATCTAGCCATGTGGCAGGGAATCCCAGAATTGTAATGTTTGAAAATGGTCAACTTTGTAGATATGTTGAAAACAGGAAAGCATAAACAAGATTTCAGTCACTCTTTGCAAGAAGTATTAGTTTTCCTCTTTAGATAACTAAATGTAGTTAATCTCTCTTCGGACCCCCAAATAAAAGTGGGGAGAAACACTGAAGTTGGAGTGGAAGGCCTGTTCTTTAAGAACTCAGCATAGAAACTAAGCATGTGTAGTGATAGCTTCAGATTAGAGAATGACATGGTAAGTGAAAACAAGGCCAGGATTTCAAGCTTTGTTTTGGGAAAGAATATCCTTGCTCTTTGGCTCTGAACTTGAGGCACTGGTGATGGAGCCCCCAGGTGCTTAGACTAGGAAGGCCCATGTAGTCACCCTGCCTTCTCCCTGGAGGACTCTGGAGCCCTGCTCACAAGGTAGCACCCATGGGTAGCTGATATGGCACGTCCCTTTCTTTTGTTAACTGAGATCTCTATCACACTGAACCTCATGAACACAGTAAGTTTTCAGTGAGCACTTGCAACAGATAAGGTGCTGAGGCTGTGACAGTGAATAAGACAAAAAAAAAAAACTGCCTTCATGGAGCTAAAATTCTGTAGCTGGGAGGTGAGGGGCAATAAGTCAGTGAACAAGGAAAAAAAATATAAATCAGGGCAAGAGGGGAACTGTTACATGTTGGCTGGCTCAAGCAGAGGCATCCGTCAGCCTGAGAGCATTTCAGCACGGACCCAAAACATTCTTAAGTTTACGAGTCCTTTTCTAGAACAGACCACTAGACTCAAGTTGAGAGAATAATTTAACTTCTCTTATTTTGCCTCCTCCTTTACTAAGTCAAAGTGGGTATGAAATGCAGCAGGTCTGGCTGAGAATGCTAGGACAGCCCCTGTGGCTTAATCTTTTCCTGGTTTTGGTTGTCTTCAGCCCAGCATGTGAAAAGATGGCGACAGGCCAGAAAATGTGGACCCTGCCACGTACCTACTTTTGTGCAAGCCTTTCTAGTCAGAGCCTTGTACCCCAGGCCCTTTTTCAATCTAACGCACGATCAACGTCTGAGCTCATCTATGAACCAAGACTTATGTTAACCTCATGCACTCAAGACTAGTTAATCAATTTTCTGTGTCTGGCCAGGTTATCTTAGATCTGAGAATATACAGAATTTGCCAGTTCCCAAAAATTAAAAAAAAAAAAAAAGAGGGAGTCAAGGTGTTAATATCAGAATATTTAGTCAGCAGCTCTCTATCACCCAGAACATTCATAGGTCAGGACCACCTCTACTTCCTGAACCACCACTTCATCATCTCGAGTTGGCTGAAAATGGAAGTTCAGAATAATCTACATGATGACCACAAAGCTGAGGAGAAACACATTTGGAACTCCCCCGGTGGTGTATGTTCTTTGAAACATTATGCCACAGGCTTTGTATACCTGGCTGTGCATCCTCACTACCACTAGGTGAGCCTGTGGGTGAGTAAGTGTTGACAGAATTACTGTTCAGAGCAGCTGGTGTTTTGTAAAAGCCCATGGTCCTGGAACCCAGGGTGAGAGCCATCCTGACTTGCATTAAGTCATTTCAGAGGCTGAGAGGAAATCTGGCCATTAGTTGACTTCTTAAATGACAGGTACCTGAAAATCATCCTTGGTCAGCAGCCAGGAGGACCCTAAGTAAGCTCCTCAAGCTCTTAAAAAATGTGGGGACACTGGGAGAAGTAGCTTCTCTGTAAGAAAGCAAGTAGTACTGACTAGGACTGAAAATGTTACCAGAGTCTGCACCCCAGTAACAATTATTGTAAAAACCAGCTGGTTCAAAGGCAGCTATGCCTGTGAGACTATTACTAATTTTTTCTTTTTGGGTGGAGTCCTCTGTATTTTCATAGCAGGATATCTTCTTCAACATGTATTCCCTTTCTATTTTTCAGTAGATGCTTAAAGTGAAGTTTAGCTTGTCAATGCATGAGACAGCACAGAGTTACCTTGGAAACTGCCGCAGCCTTGGGGTGACTGGGACTTTGCACTCTTCCTTTGGGTGTAATGAGGGTTCAGAGCCTGTCTTTTCTCTCAAGGCCTTTTGGACAGTCCTCAGTATCCAACCCATGACAGCACATGTTCAGAGACCCTGTCTACATAGTCTCGTCATGCTCTCTCTCCAACCACAAACGATTTGCTCCATGTTTTTTGGTGAACCTGTGATTGTCACATCCCTCATCTTTCCTCCAGATGCCCTTCCCACCCCCAGATAGCCTCATCTCACTGCTACTGATCTCTCCATCCCAGGTTCCAGGTGTGTGATGGTGGCTGCAATTTGTCTTGTGGGTATTAATGCAATCTCCAATGGTGGCTACTGCTCTTGAGCTGTTCTACAAAACTGGAGCGTGCTGGTAAGTTCAGCATGTCACGCGTAAGAGGAAGGTGTGTGAACCTAACCTCTGTCAATCTGAATGGTGCTGCACTAGGTGGAGACACACTGGTAGGAAGGGTTGAGTGGGGATCTGCAGAGGTAAGGGCATCCCAGGATAGCAATTGTGTTGTAAGCTTTCAAAGTGTATAACCCCAGAACTTGACCCTACCCCCTACAACCTTCTCTTGTCAGGCTGGTGTTCTAGGTGAACTGAGTCAGTTCTACCTTTAAAAAAAAAAATGCTTACAGATAGATGAAGCCTTTTCTGGAAATTAACCATTTGTATATATATACCTCTAATCTGATGTAGCAAATATCATTTTGATAAGCCTCTTCAAGATGACTGAAGAGGCTTAGATAGGACTAATGGAGATAGGATTGCACCACACTGCTGGGCTTGACTTCAGTGGTCTGTCCATCCTTTCAGGCAGTACGTGCAATGTTAAAATCATGCAGAAACCTGCCGATTTCTGGTCTTTAGAAAGTGTGGCTCTGAAGAGCAAAGGAAACCAACTTGGTTATATCTTTGTTCAAATAAGGTGGCAAATTAACCAGGTAGTCTGGCTAAGGGTATCATTAAGAATGCCACTTTCTGGTCCCTGCTGAGTGATGTGTGTACCAGGCATGCAGCCTGCCCCTTTCCCCACCAAGCACAGGAAGCCTGCTACCAGCACCTTTTCTCACACTGACCCAAAGTCCAACTGAAACTTACCATTTTAAATGCAGTAAATTGACCAAAACCTCTTAATTCAAGAGCCCTGGAGATGAGGTCACTGAGAAATAGTTGGAGCATGTGGTAACTTCATGCTGCAACCCAAGATCAGGTTGCAGAAGCCCCAGATATACCTGAGAATGTGGGTTACAAAACAGGAGACATTCATTCAGCTCACCTGTTCCAGTGCCATCCATGGATTACAAAAATAAGTTCAGAGGAATCTGTGTCTTCCCAGGTCAGATAACACAGCCTGATGACGGCTGCTGGCCCTTCTGGCTGAGATGGATACCTGGAACTCATGAGCACATAGCTTGCTGATAACTGACCCCCACATTTTTAGCAGCTGTCCCTATGTAGAAGACCACATTCACCTTTTGTGATACTGCTTAAGCTACCAGGAGACACTTTCCTGTATCCTGGAGAGTTATTGCCTCAGCAGGATATGCATGTATATATATATTTCCCTCTTTTGCCCTGTCACATGCATAGGGTAATTGACCTCCTGTCAGGAAAGGCTCTGTGTTCCCTGATGTCTTTGCATTCTGTTTTAAAGGTCCTTAATACATTCCAAGGTTTGAACTCCGTTCCTAGTTAACCCCCTTTCCTTGTTTACAGGGACTGAAATAGCCACATTTTGACCTTCTGTTCAGTCTGGGAACATCTATGCAGTGTGGATACATTCTTTTCCCATGTGAGAATCACATTTATGTAGAAGTTATGAAAAAGCTTAAACCATCAACTCATCTCCCATGTTCTCTTCCCCATATCAAACAATAAACTTACCTAGTTAGTCTATTATCAGGACCCATCTATCTCTTCTAGTGTACTCTGAATTTGGGTAGGTTGCTTATTGCCCAGAACCTTGGTTAACCAGTAAGTAGAACCCAACGCTGGCGTCCAGCATAGCCTCCTGCCACTAACCCCAGGGCCTTGAGACTAATCCACATATCAAATGATCCATCTTTCCTGTTTCATTTGTTCTAGTATTTAACTTTGTCGACTGTGTGTGGAGAAAGATAACTAGTGAATGTTTTGCTAAGACATAAGAAAACACCACAGGATATAGCAATCAGGAAAGGTTGGCAGAAATGGGACTTGAACAGAAGCAAGTTCTTGCTGAAAGTGCCTTACAACCAAGCTTTTGAGCACCTTGAAGGATGTGTTAGGGATGCGAGTCCAGTGTTATGAATTGTCATCTTGCTATCCTAAGCAGAATTGAAAAAGTCAGAAATATACCTGAGAAGTACAACCAAGATGATGGGTGTTTGGAAGAATGAACAATCCACGGACTTGGCAGAGAGCTGAGGAGCCAGAGCTATGTTAATAGGTGGAGAGAGCCAAGTAAATAAAGCCGTTAGGCCTCAGACATTGTCCATCTTAAACCAGCAGGCCCAACACATGGCAAGGGGTTTCTGGAAGGAGAGCATACCTGTAGCCAGTGTTCCACTACCTGCTTTCTCAAGATGACTCACTCTGCCTCCATTAAGGCCAGTGGTGGCATGTAGCCCGCTTAGGTCCCACAGTCCAGTGGCTGAAGAATGTTGTTTCTGTGAATTGTTCCAAAGTAGGACTAGATACAGAGTAATTGCTGTGCCTCAAAGTTTTCTGGAATCGGTACATATTGTCAAGTTTAGGGTAATGTGGAACCTGTCATTCCAGGCAAATGAAAGTGGGGGAAAGAAGCAGCTCATTTCCCTCCTGTTGACATACAGTGTGGCAGGGGAAGAGGTGTGTTAAGCAATTAAGGGCAGAATATATAGCTCCTGTCCTCATAATAATCCTCAATCTCAAACAGGCGGGAAAATAATGTTCTCGATCCTGCCGGGTATAAACCGAAAGGTAGCTTTCAACAGGACCCTACTCACTGTCACAGGTCATGTGGTCTGTACCAAAGGTGAGATGTGAACAGTCCCAATTTACTCAGGTTTCTCTATCACTGAACAGCTCAGAAATGGTATGAATCAAATATTTTTGGTGAAGACAGGCAGTGGGGGCGTCACTGCATACCAGGTCTTGGACTCCACAAACCTCTGTAATCTGGCCTCTCCCTAAAATTAGCCTGTGTCAGAATACTTCCCTCTAGCTGAGCAACCTAACAGTACACAGCAATTCTGCATATCTAGCTCCTTCTCTTGATAGTGTTGTGCCATGAGTCATAGATATGTGGTAATTATATTTGATCTTCTGACTTGTAGGAACCTTACTATCCATTTGTACTGGCATCTGGGGCATGGTAGAACTGTACATGGATCTCATTTGAGTGCTTCCCTGAACAGAATTCACTGCTAAACACATTTTGTCAAATATAACCTAGAAAAGTTATAGGGGTATTTTAACAATACTTTTTCTTTATAACCTCCCACATGCAAATAAAAACTCTACTTTACACTGATCTACTCCTGTGAAAATGATACAACCACAGATTTGAGTGTGGCACACCAAGGTATTAGAGAGAAAATGTTTTACAAAAATCCTGGCACAGGGATGCTGGCAGTGACTGTCCCTTTTCTGCCACAAAATAAACATGTCAAGTGCAGGGGGAGGAAGTTTCTAGTGGAGATGATGGAAATTATTTCCCACAGCTCTAGGGTGAGACTTATTTTTGTAAGTGATCCTTAATTTGGAGGACCTATAATATGTACTGCTTTTATTCATGCTTTGATACACTTTTCTTTCTGTTACAGGCTTGAAAAACATTGCCCAGTTTTGATCCCTTCAAGACTTTGCCACAGCCTTTCATCACACATCTGTTTTTCTTGAAGAAAAAAAATATAATAAAAAATTGTTTTACTCTTTTACACTGTATAATTTTAAGACATAGTGTGTTATTTGTGAACGCATGGTCTAACATTTCTGTATAGTTTTGAGATATTCAAACAAAACAGAAAATTGGCCAACAATGAAGCCAAAAGAGTATTTTTATACCAGACATTTTAAGTATGATAGGATGGGTGATCTTAAAACTGTATAGAGTACAATTGTTGTGCTTGACCTTCAAATGCCTATAATTAAGAAGTACCTTTTTTCCTAATGTACATCAAAATTGCCAGAATAATTATGAATATCTGGAGTCCAGGGTAATTTGTAGTGTGGCATTAGGCACTGAAATGTGCTACTGCAGATAGCTACATTCTAGTCAGCCACCCCTCCAGGAGCTTCTACCATAATAACATATACACAAAGAAAACTTTTCCTGATCAGTGTGTCCTTAGAAAACTCTGAAGACTCCAGAGTTGACTGTTACAATACTTCCCAAGTATTCACTTTTCTCACATTATCTATCAGCAAACTCCCATGTGTGACCTACTTACAGTACAGCTTTTCGTGCCTTGGGAGTTCAGCCAACCTAACTTGCAACGGGCAAGTGATTTTATAAAACATCAGTAGTGATGATGCATTTCTAATGAGTCTTGTTCAGTTTCCCATGTGGAAAATTGTATATTGACCTAAGAATTTTCAGTTGCTAATGAAGCTGCATATATCACAATCATTTTTACTTAAAACTGGTTAGTTTCATTATTTTCCAGTATAAATTGTCAGTAAGCTTTTCAAGGTTACCACCAAAATGAGGGGCTCTTACCTTTGCTATAAAAGAGAAGAAAAGGCATAAACAGCATGTTCAAGCCCTGAATAGGCCTCCGGTGCCGCCTGACTCTCGGTAAAGACATCTGTGCTCTTGTTTCTAAGGAAAACAGCAACATCCACACAGTCTATTTATGCTTTTATAAACTGTTCAAGAGTACTTTTCTATTGTCATTTTAAAAAATAAAGTGCTTATTTCAGCTGTAACACCTTTGCTTGCTTTTGTGAGATCAACCAAGTGCATTCCATACTGACTGATCTGTAAGCACTGACTCGAGCTGCAGACTAAGAGGAGTAGGGATCACAAGGTAGAGTCATACACCGCCTTGATGTCTTAGTGCAATCAGCTGACTCTACACAGAACCTTAGCTCAATATTTGAAATGTGGGAAAGGATTGTTTATGCTTTTTCTGAACATAAAATATTTTTCTGAGCTCTGTCCAATTACAAGTAACAACTGGTAAGTCTCATGCACGGATGGCGTTTGGCTCTCACCCTTTTTAAGCGAAAACCATCCACTAAAAGTGAACCACAACCTTGCTGAGGACCCATGCAACCTGCTCAGATAGCCCTCTCTAGGGCAGGCCTGGTCAAGTTGCTTTGCTTTCAGCTGACTTGTGACCACCTAAGCCAGGCTCCAGGGAAATGCCAAACAGCCTTGGAACTAAGGGCCCCATTACCCTAAATAAAGGAAACTTCCTGCCCACCCAGCCTGCTTTGAAGAACCCATCCCCTTCACCTACTGAACACAACCACTTCTATATGCTTTTTCACAGGAGCTTAGGAACGGATGACTGTCTACCCTCTCACTGTTGATGGTCACTAGTGCTGTGTTAATGAAAATCAAGTATGAACTATAGACATTCCCACTGATCAATCTGACACAAATTTCATTAGTGAAAAACTTTTCTGTCACTCTTTAGAGCAGGAATGTAGTATCTTGTAATTAGGAACTTGGGATAACAAAAGGGCAAGTCTGCACCCTCTTGCTTCACATGCACTATGTCCCAATTTGTAGGCTCCCATTTTTTAAAATTTCTTTACAAGTGAAGCCTCTGTTGATAGGGAAGCTGTGACACACAACAAAGACTAATGCAGCTATAAAACTGGCACTGCTATAGAACATCCTAGTTAAAAGTCTCAGCTCTGGACTAAACTGTCCTGACTCAGGATTCCTAAGTCCCCAAAGATGGCAGTGTGGCATCAGAAATCTTAGTGGTCCCCAAAGGTTCTATTCAGCTGTGCTTCTAGAGTACAAATTATACTGATTCCTGCTTTATAACAAAAACACAAAAGGCTGTTTCTACAAACTATAACATAGTAGGCTCATAAAGACAACCATGAAACCTTCCCTTCTCCCACTCCACTCTGTCCATACTATCACTAAATTAGAAAATTAAGCCCAAAGCTTAAATACAAGCCAAATTTGTCTTCTGACCAAAAAGATAACTAAATGGAGTGAGACATTTATGTATACATGGAAAGGAAGAAAAGTAACTTCCCTAAAACAAGAATGCAGCTTTGTCTTAGAAGGGACTCAGCAAGAAAGTTCAAAATCACAACAGTCAAGTACAAAAGTTAACCGCCTTCTTAGAATATCAAAATCAGGACATAGGAAAATCTCTATAGTTCCTTCCGTTAGTATCCCATGTTTTACTTGTTTTCAAGTATTTTATGGCCTTCGATATACAAAACCTGCAAAGCACTAAGGCAGCTGACAGGCACTGGGTTATCACAGGGTCTTGAAACAGATGGCTTGAGTCACAGGGGAGCCAGATTACATGTTAAGGGCCTGATGTCCAGAGGCCTATGGCCCCAGAAGGTAGGTCACCAGGATAATGCCAGTCCTGCCACAGCTGTGTTTCCTGTGCACATGCTCCACACACCAATCAATGGATCAGCTCCTGAAGGTGCAATTATTCTGAGGGACAGTTTCCAAGAGGTTGTTAGGGCCACTTCTGCTCCGCTCACAAAATAATGAGAAACAATAGACTGTTCTACATGAAGCCCCAAGGTTGATGGAGCTAACAAGTCATGGCTGTTGTCAACATGCGCTGCGCTTCCATCTTAACAGAGCCTTTCAGACAGCAGAAAGAATTGGTGCAAGACTGCTCACTCTTTATTATCATCTACAAATAACTATCACCATTTCCCACAAGGAATATATAGACCAGCATCACACAGGTCTGGTCTTGTTAAGAATAGTCAATTAATTATTGAATAGTAAACCCCAAACCTCCCCCAAGATTGAATTCATCTGCAAGTAAAAATAATGGCTAGAGGGAAGAGGTAACATCTGAGTCTCACCTTCTGTGCCTCCGAAAATGGTTTTTATCTGTTAAAAACTGGAGAATTTATAAATCGAAATACAGTGGTCCCACATTCAAAATGTATTTTATCTGCCTATTATTTCATATAGGTCACAAAAGGAGGCAAGGGTTGTGTTCTCCCTGTGAACACTGGGACTGAATACTCTGCTCCACAAGGATCAAGTGCTCCTCTGTCCCCCTTGCCCCACATCATCTTAGAGGATGTGACAACAGCAGCTAAATTTTTGCTTTTTATACTTTGTCTAGGCTCAACTACACTTTTCTTAGCTATGCCCTAAAAGCCTCAAATGGCTTATGAATTATAGATCAAAGGCACTATAATTTTAATTCACCCATGTTCATCCTACTCTAAATGGCCAGCAGATTCAGCAAAAATCGGCAAATCTGAGAATCAGACTTCTTGATTTTCTGATGGCTATGCCTTTAGACAGCAGGAAGAATTGGTGTAAGACTTCTCTCTTCAAAAATAACTGGGCTCCTATCACAATTTCCCACAGGAAATACATACAGGAATTTCTTTTCCATGTAGCAGGAAAAGGGGATCAAGGTGTAAATGAAAATACAAATGAGGCAGAGCTACAGAATTTGTGAGTGATAATTTAGCAACACACTTCATTTCTCCAGACCTCAATTGTCATTTCTGAAATAAAGATAACTAAAGTGAATTATAAGGCCAGATCACAAAGAACTGATGAACAAAGGTCTACCTAGAAACTACTGATTAATATAAAACTTCCACCTAAGAACCTGTAACAGGAAGTGATGTCAGTTTCAGCACCAAACATGAAGTATTTAAGATGTCCAAACCTATCTGCAGACTTAGCTCACAAAACAATGGTGTCTAGACCACAAAAAGCAAGCATCTACTTGGACAGAAACTAGCTTCAACATTTTTTTTTTTTTTTTTAAACAGAAAAACTAGTGTTATGCCATAAGACATTAAAGTTCCTCCTTCCCTTACGAGCAGAAAGCTCTGCTATAAAGGAGGACAGGCTGCCTGCCACGTTCAAAATTATAACTGAGAGTCTTCGATTTCTGTCAATATCTTTCTCTTGCTGTGTTCTGGAGCACGGATATAAGAGATAAACAGTAAGATGCCACTGTAAATAAATGAGAAGCATACAGAAAAGGATAAAATGAACACAGCAACAAGGCCCTTGTCATCTGCACAAAATGCTTACTGCTTTGGGTTACCATTATCCTTTCCTTGAGAACACTGAGCCTTGTTTTAATAATCCACTACAATTTCAATTTATGATAGGGAGACCAACAATCAATCCAAATAACCCCAGATTACATAGCAAGCACAGATAAAGAAAAAGGATAGTTTGCCAAAGAAGGTTAAAATAACCAGAGATTTCCTGTATATCACCATGACGCTGAAGAACCCACACATATCTGAGAATGGCTCCCATGAGCTCACCAGTGATGGGGAGAAAAAGAAGTCTTCACCAGAAGAACCTCAGGGTCAGGCTTCATGAAGGTTGACATGGGAAAGATGATATTCAGGTTGGCAAGAAGACTCCATCCATCCTTGCTGCAGATGGCCAGACCATTACTTATAAGTCCAAGAAGCTAAAAACCAGTTTAACCTTTCAAAAGAAAACATTAATTACATGTAGTGTTATCTTTATTGCTTCACTTGTAAGCAAGAGACACACCTTATAATCCAACTGTGAAATCCTTACGCTCGGCAACACATCAAGGTCAGTCTTCAACATACCAGTCACGAGCCCTTGAGAGTGTAAGACCAGAGATGTCCACTGCCACCACCAAATGGAAAGAAAGAAAATTGAATCCACGGTCTAAGAACTCCTCCTACAATGATTTTATTATAAATATGTTCTTTTAGAATAAACATATATTGCATTCAAGACTATCTGCAAACTTGTTCTAAAGTAATAAAAGAGGAAAAATGGAACCAGGAACGACTTCGAACTAGAGACAAATCAAAGACACCTGGATGCCATGCTAAGCATCTTCACCCTCTAAGCCCCACGAAGTAACAGGTTAACAGGGAATATCACATTTCTCATTAGCCATTCAAATTAGCCATTAAATTTGGGTTTGAGTTGGTTCTGTAAACTGAACTGTTCCTCTCTTCAGTCCTAAGCAGTAGAGTGGGAAGACAGTCTTCAGACCACAGCATCAACAAGAAAGATCTTGATTTTTTATCTGTAACTGCTGCTGAACAAATCTGCTCACTATTTGCCAGGTGGGATATCGGAGTAGTCCTTTAGCACTCCAGCCATGTGTTCATTATGAGTCTTAAACCGCCGCTTTTTCTGTGAAGCAGGCTTTTTCCTTCTCTGAATTGGGGCCTATAAAGAAAGATAAAAATGGTCACTAATCTGCCGTGTAGTAAAGTAAGGAGTTGCCAAAGAAGTCCAGAAACCAAGAGCAAAGAGATGCAGGAATTTTGGTGTTTATCAATCCTTTGTAGCACATCATACATGCTAACCCACAGCACACACCCAAACTGCAATCAAGAACTGTTACCTTCTATTATAATGAAGAAAAAAATGGGTTGGCAAAAATGCATGCCAGAACTATACTAGTCATTACATGGATAAAAAGACACACTAGGGGCCCTCCCTGGTGGCGCAGCGGGTTAAAGCACAGCACTGAGAATCTAAAGCCGCTTCCGCACAAGTTTGATCCCCGCCTGCCCCAGAGGTGACCACATGGCGTGGCAGACCTCTCCTGACCCGCCCGCTGCTCCCCTCAGCAGTGTACTTCGTCAATCTGCCTGTTCTGTTCCCCACTCTGTCTCTGGTGAAGCCTCTCGCCGCCCCTAAGCCTCTGGCCTGTACCCCAGTTCTGTATACACAAATAAATAAATCTTTAAAAAAAAAAAAAAAAAAGACACACTAGGTTCTCCTTGGTGACCTAGGGGTTAAGTCTCAGCATTATCACAGCTATGACCCAAGCTGGATCTCTGGCCAGGGAACTAACCCACATGGCACAACAGACTTCTTCTGTCTTGGCCACTGTTTACCTTACCACTATATTTCAGTAGATCAGCCTGTTTTGTTCCCCACTGTCTCTGGCTAATCGTCTCACCCCCTTTACCTCTGGCATTGAAAATACTAAAAAAAAAAAAAAAAAAAAAAAAAAAGAGAGTAAATCTCTTTTGTCTTCATTTCTGTTATCAGGTTTAAAAAATAATCCAGGCCATCGCTGGTGGCTCAACGAGTTAAAGGAAAGCACTATGGGGCTGTGCGCCACCACTGCAACAAGAATTTGATCACCAACCAGGGAACTACCACATGGCACAGCAGACTATTTCTGACCTGCCCGCTGCTCTCCTCAGCAGTGTATTTCAGTCGATCTGTCTTTTCTACTCCCTGCTGTGTCTCTGCTGAATCCTCTCACCCTCCCCCCATCTCTAGCTTATATGCCAGTTCCTGTAGGCATAAATAAATAAATCTTTAGAGCCCCACCCTGGTGGCACAATGGATTAAAGTGCAGCACTATGAAGCTATCTACAACTACTGCAACAAGAATAGTAAGAGTCCCAGCCAGGGAGGGACCCACATGGTGAGGCAGACTTCTCCTTACCCACCTGCCGCTCCCCTCAGCAGTGTATTTCAGTCGATCTGGCTGTTCTACTCCTCACTCTTTCTCTGGTGAATCCTCTCACCCTCCTGCACCTCTGGCCTGTATCCAGTTCTTACATACATAAATAAATCTTTAAAATAAATAAATCTTTTTTTTAATCCAACATTAACAATAAAAAAAATGATCTATGGTAATAAGGAAATTGGCTGGATAGTTTGTCAAATACTTTTGCTATTTTCTGTATATTTGAAATATTAATATTGCATGATTTTTAAAAATCAACAAACTAAGCAATAAGAGGAAACCACATAGTGCTGCAATTCTAACTTATGGAATAATCGCTAACAATAAATATTCCCTTTTAAGGAGGCCTGATAAAATCACTGAAGACACACATACACGTGTACACACAGATAAACAGTCACAACGTGGACAAAAAGGAGAGAGGCAGAGTAGCTAAAGTCTAGGGTGTTGGTGAGTCACTGGCTTTCTCCATCCTTTGTTTTTTGACTACAGAAGATAAATTAACTGGTACAAAACATAAGTCTTCCCTGGTGGCCTAGGAGTTAAGTCTCAGCAGTGTCACTGCCATGGCCTGAGTTAGTTCACTGACCAAGGTGCTAACCCACATTAAGGCACCTCACCCCATGCTCCTCTTAGCAGTGATCTCAGTAAATCCACCTGTTCTGCTCCCTACTGTGTCTCTGGTAACTCATAACACCCAACCTAAAAATAACAGTATCTGGTTCCTAAGGGATATAAAAGTAAATAACAATTCAATGTGATCAAGTAGGACTGAGGCAGAGCCATGTGCCAAGACCCAGAGGTCCCAGGAACAAGTAAAGAGAACACAGTGTCTTAAGGGCAAGATGAGAGAGCAGGTTCCTGTTAGAAACTGAAAAATGGTAACATGTGGGTACTAGAAAAACTTTGGTACGGCTGGAGCTTTAAAGTAGGACAGGGGCAGGAGGGATGATGGAGAAAGTTCTCACGTGATTAGGGGGCAGCACCTGAGAGAAAGATCTGGCACTCAATACAGGAGACATGATCAGGTTTGCAGCTGACTCAGATCACTAGATTAGGACACTGAGAAAAAACTGAAGGAAGAACTAACTACTTGGGGGTCTCCCTGGTGGTGCAGCAGTTAAAGCATCAGCATTATCAAGCTATTGCAAACCACTGCAGCATGAGTTTAATCCCCTGCCAGGGAGCAGACCCAGAAAGTACAACAGACCTCTCCTGTTTAACCCACTGCTCCCTTCAGTAGTGTATCTCAGTGGATCTGCCTGTTCTGTTCCCCACTCTGTCTCTGCTGAATCCTCTCTCCCTCTGCACCTTTGGCCTGTACCCGTTACCGCATGCATAAATAGTGTTTAAAAAAAAAAAAAAAAGAACTGACTACTTGATTTTCAGAAAGCAAAGTAGGAAGCTGACTAACACATTAAAGAAAAGAGGATTACATTTTCTCCCCCTAGAGATTACATACCACTTTCTTTGGTCCGGATTCCTGCATGGAAGAAATACCCTGTCGTTTTAGATAGTCCTCAATTTTCTCTTCATCCATTGAATCCACAGTGACACTCCTCCACAATTTCTGAAATTCTGTGCCAACAAAATAGTAGTTATTTTACAATAGATATCTATAAGCTAAACATGATCAAAATTCAAGTGTAATTATTTCCTCAGGTCTAAATTAACACATCTGAAATTTCACTGTAAAAACAAAAGATGTAGGGCCCTCCCTGGTGGCACAGCAGGTTAAAGCACAGCACAAAGAAGCTTAAACCACTTCCCCATGAGTTCGATTCCCGCCTGCCCCAGAGGTGACCACATGGCGTGGCAGACCTCTCCTGACCCGCCCGCTGCTCCCCTCAGCAGTGTACTTCATCGATCTGCTTGTTCTGTATCCCACTCTGTCTCTGGTGAATCCTCTCACCCTCTGCATCTCTGACCTGTACCTCAGTTCTGTACGAATAAATAAATCTTAAAAAAAAAAAAAAAGATATTAAGACAAGAACATTCTAATACTGAACCCTTAGAAGCAGAAGAGCCTGGGAACATGAACTGCACCATTACAAGCCAGATCAGTGGTATTCTATTTTTAAGAGTTATAAACAAAGGGTGCTGTGATTGGGGTCTCCTGCTTTCCTGGATAAACAAAAACAGTTAACAGACACTCTCCTTTTATTCCACAGCTCCAGTCTCTCCATTGAAATTCTTTAATGTTCATCACCCCTGAGCTTTAGTCAGTCAACTTCTTTTCTTCCCTATAGGTAAAAAAAAAACACTAGGGAGATTAGGAAACAAAATATTTTATGGGAAGGAGGGGACTGCTAACTAAGAAGTCAAGAGTGTAGAAGGGAGGCGCTTAGACATTCCCTGAAAACAAAGGAGGCTCTCCATTCAGCTTACATCTTGTCCTAAGAAACTGGTCCTTGTGTCACATCACTATTTTACAACCAAAATAGATCACAAACGGGAAATGAAAGTAATTTTTGTATCTTAAAATCTACCCCTAGAGATAGGTTCAAATAACCAAGTTTCACTTCATTATCAATATTTACTTTTAAACATGAAAAATGTCATGATAGTAAATTATAAGACCTATGCACTCTGGAATGCAAAAAAAGTTCCCTGAGCAATCTGATGCTATTTGCTCCAGCGTTATCAACGCGAAAACATGCCAAGGCAGCGATGAACCAACCCCTCTTTGCATTCCAGGGCCATTAGCTTTTCAGTAGGCTGCCTAGAGGATCCATTCACAAGCCATAAATCAAGTACGCACATGATACTGCACAGAAGAGATATTTCTCCTTTCCCCCCTTTTCCTCCTTCCTCTCTTTCTTCTTTCAATACATACTCATGAAGCAAATGTTGTCCAAGCAGATGAGACTCTACTGATACTAATGAAATAAATGTGTGATCTATGACAAACTGAAGAGCATTTTGCTGAAGATGACTAAATGCAAAAATGATTTATGCTACGAAAATTTCAACTTGGGCACAAAGTTATTTAAATCCAAAACATCTCTAAACAAAAACTTAAAACTTTCGATACATATATTAATGGCTCTTTAATATACCACTGAACCTTTATCTATAAACATTATTATAAGTAACTTAATGGATGACAACCTTTTGCTGACTTTCTCAGCTTGCTGAATGGCAATAAGCATTTCAAGAACAGAAAATGCTATTTTCTATTATGGTCTAGGCACCCAGTATTTGTTTACTTTTACATTTTTCAAGACTTTCAATTTATATTAACAGAAAATGCTGGCAGAGTAATTCCTGTTCAACCAGATTCCCTCTAACACTTTATATAATCTTAGTAAAATTAATGAAATTAACACCAATACAATCCCATTCCCTGATCTACAGAGCTCATTTTAATTTCACCAGTTTCGATATCAGTGTGTACTGGGGAAGCAAATCCAACATTTTCATTATGCCCCCATCTTGCAGCACCTCTGAAGAGATAGTTAAGGATATAGGAGTTGTTTCCAGGTTAGGACAGATTCAAATAAACGGACATGGACTTTGAGTGAACTTGGGTAAACACCTAAGAGAGGAATGGCTGGATTATACATCAATAATATATGTAACAATGTAGTAATAAATATTCAGCTTTCTAAGAATGGCACAGAAACCACATCTTACACTGTATGCAAACATAACTCAAAATTATGAAAGATCAAAATGCAGGAGTTGAAACTGTAAACTGGGGCCTCCCTGGTGGCATAGGGGTTAGTGTCCGTGCCATCACAGCTATGGTCTGCGTTTGGTTAGGGAACTAACCAATGTCATAGCAGACCTCTCCTGTCTTGCCCACTGTTCCCCTTAGCAGTGCATTTCAGTAAAATCTGCCTGTTCTGCTACCTGCTCTGTTGCTCCTCTCACATCATGCACCTCTGGCCTATATCCAAGTTATTCTATGCAAAAATAAAAATTAAAAGTCTTAGGAAATAAACAGTACATTAGACAGTGATCTCAGCTATGACACTAGAAGGGTAACAGAAGACAAAGTGCTATAAAAATTTCATCAAAATATGAAGCTGTCTAAAAGGACACAATAAAGAAAATGAAAACATAATTCATAAAATAAAGCTCCAAGTATATGGGCATATATACCTACAATAAAGATGTTTTTAAAACTCTATAATTAAAATAACACAAGTTTTTAAATGGACAAAGAATGAACATTTCTCAAAAGACATATGGACATTAAGAACATGGAAACAGTAAGAACATGGAAACATTCACTCACTATCAGTCATTACAGAAATACAAATCAAAATCATAATAAGATACCATTTCATAACCAGTAAGATGGCTAAAATAATTGTTAGCGAAGGTGTAAAGAAATTAGAATCCTCATATATTGCTGATGGAATATAAAATGGTGTAGCCACTTTGAAAAACAGCATAGCAAGCCCTCAAAAAGTTAGCCATAGAATTAACATATGACCAACAACTGCACACCTAGGTATATGCCCAAATGAAAACATATGTTCCTCAGAAAAAGCTGCGTATGAATATGAATTATTCTATTAGAATATTAATAACAGCCAAAAGGTAGAAATAAATTAAATGTCCATTAACTGATGACTGGATAAATTAAATGTGGCATATATGCACAATGCAATATTCTTTTCTAATGAAGCACTTTGCCTTAATAGCACCACTAACTTCATCCCATGAATTCTGATACTTTATGCTTTCACACTTTTTTATTCAACCTTTTTCTTTTACTTCCCTTGTGATTTCCTCCTCAAACCATAAGTTATTTAAAAGTATTAATGTCTAAATATTTTGGAGTCTTCAAATATGTCTATGACCTGTTTCTAATTATATGTGCCAAACATACTATGAATGTTTTCAATTCTTTTAAATTAGTTAAGGTTTTGTAGTCCAGAGTACCATTTATGTTGGTGTCTTCCATGTGTACTGAAAAATATGTGTATGCTACTGTTGTTTGGTACTCAGTCTGTAATTGTCAACTAAGACCTTCATATCCTTACCAATTTTTCATCTACTTGTTCAATTACTGAGGAGTTTGTAGCCACCAGTCTTTAACTGTGGATTTGTTCTTTCAGTTATAACTCTTTCTAACCCAAAAGCTGGGTTGTTAAATATGTACACACATAAGACTGCTACAAATTTTTACAGGATTGTACAAATTAATTACTTACATAATACTCCTTTTCATCTTTGGTAATTTTCTGTTCTGAATTCTACTTCATCTGATATTTATACTGTCGTTCTAGCTAGATTATTGTTTGTATGGTAAATCATTTTACCTCCACTTAGCTTTAACCCATGTCTTTACATTTAAAGTCAATTTCTTACAGATACATTTATACTATAGTCTTGCTTTTGTATCTGTGAAAGTCTGTCATAATTATAAACTTATATCTGCCTTAATATACATACAAGGTTTTAAAATAAAATGTTAGATAACTTATTATCTTTAGAAAGATAAAAATGTCATAATTAATATGATTTCCATTTAACATAATTTTTTTTGAAGATTTATTTATGTATGCATACAGAACTGGGGTGCAGGCCAGAGGTGCAGGGACAGTGACAGGTTTCACCGGAGACAGGGTGAGGAGAACAGGCTGATTGACAAAATACACTGCTTAGGGAAGCAGCAGGTAGGTGAGGAGAGGTCTGCCACACTGTGTGGGTCAGCTCTGGGGATGGGGATCGCACTCACACTAGCACTGAAGCAGCTATGGCTGGCTTGCAGTGCTGAGCTTGAACCCCTTGCACCACCAGAGAGGGCACTAACATAATTATTAATATGTGTAGAATAAAATCTACCACCTTGCTTATTATTGCTTCTGTTCCATTTACTTTATCCCCCCTTCTGTTAATGTGTTCCATTTTATTAACTGAATATAGATTTACAATTTTATTTTATCTCTATTACTGCCTTATTATACGTCAATATATGGCATATAACATTAGTTTTAGGTATATAAAAGTAATATGATCTGATATATGTATATTACAAAATGATTACCATAGTAAGTTTAATTACCATCCATTGCCATACAGAGCTACAACTATTTTTTCTTGTGATGAGAACTTTTAACATCTACTCTCCTGGAAACTTTCAAATGTACAATACATTAACTACAGTAACTTTTTCAAGAATCATTTTAGTGTTTGTCCGAGAGTTTACAATACAAACATTTAATAAATCACAGTACATGCTCAAGACAATTATACCAGTTAACAAATAAGTCTAAAGATTTTTAATTGTATACTTTCTGTTCACCTGAGTTATGGCCATAAATTTTACTCTAAGGCACACTCTCACTATAAAATATATTTCTTAATATTTTTGTTTTATAGTCAGCTGTTGTCAGAGCAACTAAAATTGAAAAATGTGGGCCCTCCCTGATGGGACAGTGGGTTAGGAAGTAGCACTGTGTAAGCTAGCTGCAGCTGCTTCAGTTCAAGTTCGATCCCCAGCCTCAGAGGTGATCCACATGGCGCAGCAGACCTCTTCTGCCTTGCCTGCTGCTTCCCTCAGAGGGGTTCTTCATTGATCTGCCTTTTCTGCTCCCCACTCTCTTTAGTGAATCCTCTCACCACCCCTGCACCTCTGGCCTGTACCCTAGTTCTGTTTAAATAAATAAAACTTAAAAAAAAATGAATAACAGAATTTTAGCTAGATAATTATAAATTTTCTATTTACCTTCATGTACTCCATTTATAGCTGTATAGGTCTAATTACTATCAATTATCACATGTTTTTTGTATGAAGAACTCCTTACTATTTCTGGTGATTCTTTCTGTGAATGAAAGAACTACTGTGATTGAGTGTTTCTCCATTTTTTGAAGAATTCTTTTTGCTGCGTACAGAATTCTAGGTTGAAAACTTTCCCCTTCTGGTCAGTTAAAAATGTCACTGCCAAGCCCTCCCTGGTGGTGCAGCAGGTTAAAGCACAGCACTAAGAAGCTAAAAGCCACTTCAGCATGAGTTCGATCCCCACTTGCCCCAGAAGTGATCCCACATGGCGCAGCAGACCTCTCCTGACCCCTCCCACTGCTCCCCTCAGCAGTGTACTTCGTTGATCTGCCTGTTCTGCTCCCCACTCTGTCTCTGGTGAATCCTCTCGTCCCCCTGCACCTCTGGGCTGTACTCCAGTTCTTGTATGTATAAATAAATAAATCTTAAAAAAAAAAAAAAAACTGCTGTAATTTCTTCCTCTGTAATGAACACTTTCAGTACCTTCAATATTTCATCTTCAATTTCCATTCATTTGAATGATATGCCTATATATATATATATTTCTACTGTTTGTCAGGATTATCTTGTTTCCATTCTCTGAGATTTTTGATCTTTGGGTTAGTGGTTCTCATTAATTTTTGGACATTTTTTTACCACTTGCTCTTCTATTCCATTCTCTCACTTCTGAGATTTTAATTATATATTTATACTATTAGACATCAAGTCAGTCAGTGAAGCTGTTATATTTTGTTTCATTTCAGTTTAGATGAATTATATTAATCCATTTTCAAATTTGCCTATTCACCTTTGATTATGCCATTTGTACTTGAGTTTACTGAAGGCATTCTTTATTGAAGTCTCTGCTACTGTGATCTTCATTGCTAGAACTTTCATTTGATTTTGTCTCTCTGCTGAAATAACCAATCTAATCATGAATTCTGTCTTTTCCATCAAAGTCTTAACCTACTAATTATTTTATGTATAAATATATTCCTAAGAATTTGCTTCTTCCCTTGTCTCACTAGAGTGTTGCTTTCCTTGCTTTTTTTAAATGCCTCATTTTTTTTGAAAGCAGGATATCCTCTGTAAGACAGCTGAGACTAAGGTAGATTGTTTATGTGCCTAGATGTAGGCACGCCTTTCCTGCTAGTAGGCCTTCAGAGTGTAGAAGTTGAGTCACTATATTTTCTGAACATGAGCGGTGGTCTGTTGCTACTACAGTTACACACAGTGAATGAGAGATTCAAATTCTTCTAGACATACCTTATGTTTAAGGTAGAGGTTCACTTCAAAGGGTTGTTCTCAGTGTCTGCTTGGCCTATTGTTTCATGTATCCCCTTTATGCTGCACCTGACATACCTGTCAGGCTCCATGCAATGTCAGTTAGCTGTTACTGATCTGTTCACTTTCATAAAGGAGTGCTTTAGGCAAGCATTGTGTTCCCTCGTTTCTGGAAAGTGGCCCTCTCAGTGTTCTGCCTATTTCCTTGTACTTAGTTCTGGACCCAGCACTATTCCTGCTCACTTCCCGAGAAGTAGAAGAAAGTGTTCCTTCTGCTCCCTCCTCACATCAGCTTAAGTAAAGCTTTTGTCTCATAGGAGACAAGAAAGGGTAAGAATTCAGGCTAGGTTTCATTTTTCCTGAAGCACCTCCACCCCTAAGTCTGCCCAAAGAGGGCAGTAAACTTGACTTAGCCTCCATCTTTTTGAAGAATACAGTGAAGTTGACGGAGAAGAGACTGTAAGAAGGTACAAATTCCCATGCATCTCAGCCTCCAGGGGCTCTATATTCTCTCCTAAACCCAGATGCAGCAGTTCATGAAAATAGTTAACTAAAGTAATCTGATTGTATTCATTTTGTATTTCCCAGGTGAACAAGCACTTGTAACCCATCTATATTTTGGAAATCTCTGTCTCCTCAAATTTTGGGCTAAGTGTTTACCCTGCAAACTCAAAATTCTGATGGATTCAAGAAAGCTATAAAGGTGCAGCTGCCTGGTGGTGGTTGTTAGTATAAAACAAAACGTTCTCTAGTTTTCTAGATTCCTAAATGAAAGCTAACATTCCTGTCTTTACCATGTGTATTTTTTTTTAAGATTTATTTATTGATGCATACAGAACTGGGGTACAGGCCAGAGGAGCAGTGAGAGGATTCACCAGAGACAGAGTGGGGGAACAGAACAGGCAGATCAAACAAGTACACAGCTGGGGAAAGCAGCAGCCCAGTTAGGAGAGGTCTGCTGCGCCATGTGGGTCACCTACAGGGCCTGGGATTGAAGTTGCATTGAAGCAACTGTGGCTAGCTTGCAGTGCTACGTCCTAACCCATTGCGCCACCAGGGAGAGCCCTATCGTGTGTGTATTTTTATTCTCTTTACCTTTTTCTGTTATTAAAAGAAGTACACAATTATATCATGTAGTATTTATTCTAAATAAATGTATATAATTTTTAAATATTATGGTAAAGACATTCTTTATCCAGTGGTAAGTTTCCTTCAATATATTTTAAAATCAAACCTCTATGCAGCCTCACACATTATTCTAATACCTCTGAAAATAACTCGACATCTCTTTTAGCAAAAAAAAGTATTTAAATTTTGTTTTAATGTATTAATTCCCTTGTACCTTGTAAATTTATAATGGTGTATGTTCTCTTTGATGGCACAATAATATATAAATTAGATTTCCAGGCCATAGCTCTCACTATTCTGTGATATATAAGCTATAAAATAGATAAGTGCTACTACATGTCAAGTAGAAAAGTTTATTTTCAGTTTTCAGGGAACTGAGAATTTGCATTTTTGGCTGCATAAAAAATATATTGAATGAAATTTACCACTAGGTAAAGAATGTCTTCATCATGTGTACTTTATTTTCTTTTTCTGTTACTCAGAGAAGTACACAATTATATCATGTAGTACTTATTCTAAATAAATATGTTTAATTTTTAAATATTGGTAGAATTTAAGTCATGGTTAAAAATGGCAGAATTTTTCCTTGTGGAAAAATTGACTCCATACTAAAATATTACAGTTTACTATAATATTACAGTTTACAGTATACTATACATTAGAGTTGCATAAATAATTAAAGAGGATTCTATTTCACTTCTTTCTAAATTGTGAGTTTGCAATACTTTTGAAATTTGTAATTAAACTAATGTTCAATTCTTGCTACTTTATAAAACTTAAAAATGGGTACACATTTAAAGAAAACACCTTATTTCTTTAAAGGAAAATTCTACTTACATAGCAAAGACATTCTCAGACTAAAACCTTCCCCACCTGGGAGGGAAATGCACTGGACTTTTGGTGATGGGAAGCCCAAGGGGATTACAACTGAGATGGAAAAATGCACAAAATGACGGAAAAATAAACTACTGAAAAGGAAAAAAAACAAAAAACAAAAACCTTCCCCACCCCATCCCCAATTTACTTGACAAAGTATTTAAAACTGAAATCCAAAATGACAGATATCATATATGTAGTTAATGACTCAAGATCAACACTCAACCCTATAACTGCAAAAAAGAAAAAACTACACTTCCTCATCCTATTTGATAATCAAAAGATTCATAAGTAACTTTAGAGAATATCTGTCACTAACAAAAGCTTGTCCTTTTCCCATACTGCATCAAATTTTCTTATCAGGATGTGAAGTATTATTTCTAAAATAACAAAAAAGTAAATTTTTTTATATAGTTGAACTATAAAAACAAGAAATCGTGAACTTCCATAAAGTACAATTAACCTAAAATCATTCAAATTACACATTCCACTCTGATTAACAATGTTAGATACAGATATTTCTATTCTAAGAAGTGAAAAAAAGCAGAATTATAATATTGTGAATTTTGTCACCTTAAATTTGTAGTATACTTGCAAAGGTAGGAAATTCAAATACAAAAAGGCTTACCTTCATCCACAGAAAATTGACAGCTCTTATCATTGAAGAAAAGAACTTTCTTCTTATCAGGACGGTTTACACATAGTATCTGGTCCCCTAAAGCCTTAAAGATAAGGACATAATTTCAGTTAACTCCAAATTACCTCACCAAAATCTGTACAACAAATGACTACCATTTTAACCCACAATGTACCATTAAGATTCACTAGACAGAGCTTTGGTTGAGTTTCAATCTGGAGAATTCTGTGTTTGTTTTTTTTTTAAAGAATATTTCAAAACCTTTACAGGTTTTGCAAAGGCGAAAAAGGTAAATTTACACTTATCTTTAAAAACCAATAAAATTCAATCTGTATTGTAATTACTGTTTGGGTCCATTGGCTCCTTTTATTAAGTTAGGATAGCTCTTCATGTTCTTACTTTTTCTCTATCTTGAAATACTTTGTTACTTACCTATCATTACCTACCAACTGCTTCCAATCATACTTTCAAAAACTAAAATAAAAAAAATGACTAAACCATCTAGAAACATGACACAACAGTGAAATGAAGTAATCATTCTTCAGTTTTCTTACTGCACTGCACAATGCACTCTTTCAGGAGGACATATTGGATTAGTTTTGTTGTCTTTAGCTTTCACTGAGTAGTGTTGACAATTCTCATTTTGTACTGTTCAGACAAAGACAAAAGTAACATAAGTTCTTTCACTATTACTAATGGATCAGTATGGGAATGGTAAAAGCCTAATAACAGTATTCCACATTAATAATGATGTTGCAATTCATCATAGAAATAAAGTCTCAAACTGTATTTTTTGATAATGATACTAGATATAAATAACCTTGCAAAAATGACTTCACAGTGTAGGCATATATTAAATCACTATGTTGTATACCTAAAACTATATTTTGTTATATGTCAATTGTATCTCATTAAATCTAGAAGGAAAAATAAGGCTCAGTGAATGAACAACATAATTTATGGATAAAAAGTACTTTCATTCACTTCATTACTCAATAGTAAGGACTTTCTTGTACAATATTGTGTGATAAAAATCTATCATCTCATTTAACTAAAAAGACATATAAATGTATTCTTTCATCTTGTGTATTTGCCAGAATGTACCTGATACAGAGGTTTGCTGTGTTAAACTATTAAAATGTGTAATAAAGCTGTTTTTACCATCCCTTTTTATTCTTATTCATGTAAATTATTCATAATATAAGCACTAAAACTTCACTGAACCCAGGTGGGTAATGGTAATGATTATATATGTGATGTAAATGAAATGAACTTGAAAGACATTAAAGGCACAAATAAAAGGAAGACATTTCATGTTCATGGATTGGAAGACTTAATATTAAGATGTCAATAACAACCAAAACAACCTATAGATTCAATACTATCCCTATCAAAAAATGCAGTATTACTTTTTACAGAAAAGGAAAAATCCATCCTAAAATTAATATGGAATCTCCAGGGAGGCTGAAAAGCCAACCAATCTTCAAGAAGTATGAAACTGGAGGAAATGACAAAATAGGAAGCATCTGTCTCCCAAAATAGACAACAATTGAAGTGGAAGAACCTGTATAACTATTTTGAACCTGTGGAGTCTATAGAAAACTTGTAACTTCCACGGAAAAACTTGGACAACATCAAAGAACAGGACATTGGAAAACAACCACTTTAGCAGGGAATACTGAAAGTAATCATATATACAAAAGGGAAAAGTTTAGGAAAGGCCTGGAAAGAGCTTAAGTTTATACAAATAGGAAATATCATTTGTGACAGTGAAAAAGCTCTTAAACCCCTAGAGACAAGGCAAGGATGTCCACTGTGAGGTAACAGAAAATATACACATTGATCTCTGTTCCCAGTTCCTAGCACAGAGCTCCTAAAATCTTATAAGGGTAAGAGTACTAGGAACATCTTTTGTTCTAAATAAGTGACTGTGGGTGGGATCCTGAAGTGCTCCTAAACAGAGGAGAAAGGGGTCGCCAAAAAGCAGCAGCATCATTTATTTGCCCCACCCCACCAATTTTCTAAAGAAGGAAAGACAAAGATGGGGTTGATATGCCTATATGACAAAGCCACTATAAAATCTCCAACTGTAAAGGGGATCTATCACTATCTCCAGTACTGATTAATAATTTAGTAACTGAGACCAAATTAAATTGTATATAATCAGGTTGTGTACTAAAAATTTGTTTGGTGAAGGAAACACCCTACACTCTGGTAAGCACAAGTCAGAAGTGTTCTTTGCAAAGATAAGCAACGAGGAAGAAAACTGCAGGTTTTCCTACACTGACAATGTTCACCACTTCTACTCAACATAGTACTAGAAGTTCTAATCCGAGCAACCAGACAAGAGAAATAAAAGGTATTCAAACTGGAAGGGAAAAAGAAAAATATTTGCACATATGACCTTACATGTAGAAAATACTAAAAACTACATCAAAAACTTGTAACTAATCTTAAAAGGTCAGCAAAGTAGAAGCATAACAAAGTAAACACATTTCTACACACAATATTCTGAAAAGGAAATTAAAAACAATTTCGTTTACAATATCATAAAAAGAATAAAATGCTAAGAAATTAACCAAGGAAGTGATATAGAATAAAAACTCCAGGTCCTCCCTGGTGGTGCAATGGGTTACAACACAGCAAGCCGCTTCAGTGCAAGTTTGATCCCTGCCCAAGAGGAGATCCACATGGCACGGCAGACTCTCCTGACCCACCCACTGCTCCCCTCAGCAGTGTACTTTGTCCATCTACCTGTCCTCTTTCCCTGGTGAATCCTCTCACCACCCCTGCACCTCTGGCTTGTACTCCAGTTCTGTATGCATAAATAAATAAATCTTAAAAAAAAAAAAGAGTAAACAATCCAGAAATAAACCTCTACTTATCTTGTAGTAAGATTTGTAATAGGGCCTCCTCTTGGTAGCACAGGGATTAAATCTCAGCACTATCAAGCTATTACCAACCACTGCAGAATGAGATCAATCCCCAGTCAGAGAACTAACCCACATTTCACAGCATATCTCTTGTCTCACCTGCTGCTCTCCTTAGTAGTATATTTTAGTCAATCTGCCTGTTCTTCCCACTCTGTCTCTGGTGAATCCCCTTATCCCCTGCTTCTCTGACCTACTCCCAAGTTCTTATATGAATAAATAAATAAACGAAAAAAAGTTTTTCACAGAGTGTTAATCAATGGGAGAAGGGAAAGTCTTTTCAACTAGAAGTGCTAGGAAAAGGATATCCACGCACAACAGAATTGGTCTGGAGTCTTATCTAACACGGTAAGAAAAATTAACTCAAAATGGATCTAAATAAAAAGCCTAAAACTATTAAAATTCTTACAACAGAGCAAAAGCTTCATGGCACTGTATTTGACAATGATTTCAAAGACGTGACTGCAAAGGCACAGGCAGCCAAAACAAAAGACAAATCAGATTCCATGAAAATTTTAAAGTTCTGTGTATCAAGAGTAAAAAGGCTGGCCCTCCCTGGTGGTGCAGTGGGTTAAAGTATAGCACTAAGAAGCTAAAGCTACTTCAGCATGATTTTGATCCCTGCCCACCCCAGAGGTGACCCACATAGCTCGGCACACCTCTCCTGACCTGCACACTGCTCCCCTTGTAGTGTACTTCCTCAGTTGGACTGCTCTGCTCCCCACTCTGTCTCTGGTGAATCCTCTCACCGTCCCTGCACCTCTGGCCTGTACCCCAGCTCTGTATGCATAAATAAATAGTTTTTAGAAAAAGTCAAAAGGAAACTGACAGGGGTGAAGGAGAATTTTAAATCTTATCTGTTAACAAATTAATACCCCGAATAGAAAAATAAAACAAAAGCCTAACTCAATTTAAAATCAACAAAAAAGCAAGCAAATTTTAAAGCAAAGGTAAAGGATATGAATAGACATTTCTCCAAATATATAAAAATAGCCAAAAAGCACATGAAAAGATGTTCAATATCACTAATAATTAGGGAAACACAAGCCTACAATGAGATACCACCTGACAAAAACAAGCAATGACAAAGAGGTGAAAACACTGGACACTGCTGATAGGAAAAGTAAAATATTACAATTGCCACAAACATAGTACAGTGGTTCCTTCACAATGTAAAAATATAATGATTTACAATGTAAAAATACACAATCCAGTAAGTCCACTTCTAAGTATATATCCTAAGGAATGCACCTCAAATATTCATACACCTATATTGAAAGCAGCATCACTAATAGAAATAAACATGGAAGGAACTGAAATGCCCATCAAGAGATGAATGGAGAAGTATAACATGGAATATAAGTGTAACATAGTATTAATCTGAGAAAAAGGGAAATTCAGAAGCTCCACAAGGTATAAACCTTGCAAACATGCTAAGTAAAATACTAATCATAAAGACAATACAATTCCATTTATATGAGGTATTCAGAGTAATCAAATGGAGGTTGTCAGGGACTATGGGAAGAGGGAGCGGGAACTGTCATTTAATAACTACTGAAAGTAATGTCTCAGAAAAATATTTCACTTGTACAAAATGTTTATGTTCTGTAATCCTTTTGTAAAATAATATGAATATACTGAACACTACTAAACTGTATTCTTAAAAATGCCTAACCTGTGAAATTTGGTCTGTGTGTTTTTACAATTAAAGCATTTCTGATTTTTAAAAAATTCACCCCTACAAAGAGCTGATTCAGTACATCACCTTAAAAGTAGTGCATCATATTACAGTTGCAGACTGGCCTACTAAGATAATACTGGAAGTTAAAGTAATTATTAGAAAACCCTCCAAATGCAATCACTAAAGAATGAGTAATCTAGAATAGTCACTGGTTTGCCTCATTCTCTTGTTTCTTACTTTAGCAGAATCCTTCTGATTCCTTGCTAACACTGTACAGTTCTCCAAAGCATTTTATTGTCAACAAAAAGTAATAACTATATTCAATCTCCACCAAGAATTGAACAAAGCAACACAGAAAGCTATGCCAAAGAACTCTCTTGAAAAACATCTTCACATTTTTTAAATAAAAGTACTAGATTTTGATTAATGTGGGCACAGTCCCACCTGAAATTGAACATGCTGTGTTTCATAATG